ACAAATATACAGTGTAAAAGAGGAAAATATTATCTAGGTATGCTTTTCACTTTTCTTCTAGGAGAGCAGATGTGTGATAGAGGCTGTGGGAAAGTCTTGGAGGAATCCAAACTTGTGTGAGGTTTTTTGTTTGTGGTTTTTTCAAGCCTGTAACAAACAAGAGAGGTGTTAAAAAAAGAGGTAGCTGCCATCTTGGGCTGAGGCAAAGTGAAGAAAGGGATGTGGTTAATCTTTTTTCCTTTGCGGGGAAGCTCCTGTGGTGCAGGGTAGAGGGAGGATTGTTTTGGAAATGGGGTGAAGAAGGGAGAGCAGCTCCAAGGACAGTTGTTCGTCCGGGAAAGGGCAAGATGGGAAATGCCTTGCTGGGAGAGCCAGGGCTGCCGGCACCCCGGAGTCAGGCAGAGGGAAGGGACTGCCCTGGGTTGTTCTTCTGTAGCCCCTGGGGTTTTAAGCAGGGAGGCACCAGCTGGGAAGCAGAGAGTTAAGTTGGAGTTGAGTTTTGCACTTAAGAGGAATTCAGACTGTGTTGATCCAAGGCAGGAAGCGAGGACGGCAGCGAGATGAGATTACTGGGGGTAATTCAAAGCCGAGAGGCATTCCTTGGCTGTTGAAACTCTCACCCTAGATAACAGCAATAAACGTGGGAATGGCAGAGCATGGATCACTGGGATTGGTGCTGGAGGTGTCGTGCCACAGCAGGAGTAGGGATCAATCCCAGGGATTGTCACTTTGCTGCCTGTTCCCCTGGGGTCATCACATTGGCTTCCTCGCCCCTCTACCCTCTCCCCTTGGACCACATGCCCCCGGCACAGCCATGTGCCACGCTGCAGCCTTACCAGCACACTGTGGTCTTGCAGAGAGCACGCCAACCCAGTAGCCACCTTGGAAGACTCCATTAATACCCACAAGACTGACTGTAGGCCACCATCACACACCTGAGACCTGCGAGAGGACACGGCGGAGGGTCAGGGACTGAGGTCAGTGTGCTGTGGGGAGAGGTGGTTTTGCGGTGGCCAGCATTGGCACTTCTAAGGGGGTAGTTTAGAGCTTAAACCTGCCCTGATGGGTTGCACATGATATATTTGTTTTCATCAGGGACTGTAGCAATAGGGCAAGGGGTGACAGGTTCAAACTTACACAGTTTGATTTAGGTTAGCTATAAGGAAGAAGGTCTTTACCATGAGGCCAGTGAGGCACTGGCTCAGGTTGCCCAGAGAAGTGCTGAATGCTCCATCCCTGGCAGTGTTCAAGGCCAGGTTGGACAGAGCCTTGGGTGACATGATCTAGCGTGAGGTGTCCCTGCCCATGGTGGGGAGTTGGAACTAGATGATCTTAAGGTCCTTTCCAGTCTGAACCCTTCTGTGATTTTATATGGGATGCAGGCAGGAAAGTCTGAGCAGCAAAACTGTTTGCTGGGCTGTGCCATAGCCCTTCCCAGCTGGTGGAGCAAGGCAGGGAACCAGGTGGTCCCTGACCCTCCATCCTCACAGCCAATTGTGGTTACCAGGGTTGTTACAGGCAGATGGACCTGTTTGAGGGATTCACTCATCTCCCCTTCCTAAATACAGTTCTGCTTACATTTTAGCTGGAAACATTGGGACAGGAGGCTTCCTGCAGGCTCATGGAGCAAGCGATACCCAGCATCAGCCGAGCCTCTTTCTTTTCTTCCATTTGAATCGCTTTTGTTTATTTAGCCACTAAAGGCTGTTATTTGCAGAGCATATTTCACAAGGCTTTTGCTATTCACAGAGGTCTCAGGTGTAATCAAACCACCCTCCTACCTCCCTGGTAACCACACTGGGGCTTCCAGGAGAGTTTTCATTAAGGCTTTGTGAGATGTTCATGAGCTCTGAGCTGCTGGAGACCCCTAGAGTTGCAGCGGGGGGGAGGACAGGAGGGCACTCACCCAGCATTCAGCAGAACTGACGGGACTTCCAGCCCTGAGAACCAGCCTCGGAGGGAGGGAGCCAGCGCATCTGCAAAGACAAGAGGGGCAGCAAGTTGAGACGAGTGGTGACCACACACCCTGGCACGAAGCTCCTCTGGGTTCCCTTTTCCCAGCCTTCCCTGAGGAGAAAGTCAAAGCACATGCAGTACATCCCAGCTCTGGTTGGGATGATACTTGCTGGGGCTGAATGCAGCCTGTGGCATCGCTGCTTGCAGCAGGACCAAGTGGGGATAGTCTCAGCATCTAACATCGGTTCTCAGCATGGATTTTCCCAGGAGCCCTCAGAGCCTTCTTACGTCTCCATTTCCTCTGCTGGCCATTTCCCCAGCCTCCCGAGCAGCGCAGGTGCTGCCTGTTAGTGGTTACTTGACAAGGCAAGTACGTCACTGCAATAATATTTACCGCCACTCTTCCTAGAAACGGCAGGGCCCGAAAACCTGGAGTTTCATCCAAAGGCTGAGGACGGTTTGTACATGGATCGCTTTTCCTCGCCCTCCCGCTCAAACCAGCCCCCGGCTGTCTCTGGCTCCAGCGATGGTGGCTCCGGATAACCCGGTTCAAGACTTTCGGATGTGGCTTATCCGGCAAATCTGTTTCCATGTGCTCATTTCCTCCTGCTCACCGCCAAGCTGGAGCTGAAGAGCACCAGCTGGGACAATGGCCAGCAGGGCTACTAGGGAGGCAGCTGTCCCCGCCTCCATGGCAGGCATCTCTTTCCAGCATCCCTGTGATGCCACTACAGGAAACATCCCAAAGGCTGGCACTGTAAAGAAATCCTCCACCACCTCCATTTCCACTTCTCTTATTTTCTCCGCTGGGTAGGTGCTTAATTTTTAACATCCACATGCTGCCATCGGGACAGGCAACAGAAAAGCGCTTGTCAATAAAAGATGGGTCCTCCATTTGCACCTTGCTTTCCCTGTCCTCAGAGTCGCTTTGCTTCACACCCTGCATCCAGCAAGCAGCATCCCAGCGATGCTCAAGGGAGTGGATGGGTTGTTCGGTACTGGGAACGATGGGGATGGATCAAGTCCAGCCCCTGCGAGCATCCCCAATCCCTCCCTCCCCGCCTGGTGAGAGTGAAGGGAGGAAGGCAGAGAGAGGTGTTTGGGTGCCATCCCTAAGTCTCGGTGAGAAGGGGTGAGTGCCTGTTAGATGGGCAGAGGTTAGTGGTGCGGCGAGCACCGAGGAGAAGGGGGGTCCGGGAGGATGAGCGCAGTGGTGGCGGATGGGTCTGAATTACCTGGGCGTGCAGCGAAGCGGGATAGGTGAAAGCAGGAGGAGGTAGAGCAGGTGCTAACTCCGCTGGGTACAGGGGGTACGGCCCCCACACTTCAGGGCTACTGGGGTAAAGTGCAGGCACTGTGAGCTCATCTGCAAGAAAAGAAGAAGGAGAGTTAATGGTGAGCACCAGGACGCAGCCCCCACCATGCCACACGATAGCCAACAGCTCTGCTGGTTTTTCCTTCTCCCCCCAAAGCAGGCAAAAGCAGGAACAGAGCCTCCTCTGGAGATGCACGATGTGATGGTGCTGCTGGCAAGAGGTGACCACAAAGCCAACGCCGAATTTGCCTATTGGGAAAATGCAGGGTTTGGCCAGTGGCAAGCAACGCCACAGGGCTGGGTGCATCATCTTCAAGAGGTTTATTTACCCCAGGAATCCAGTGTTGGTGGGTGCAGAGGAGAGCGTGCAGCTCATGGCCATGCACAGCAGCAAGGTGAGGAACTGGTATCCACACAAGAAATGCTTTTTCAGTAGCAGAATGGGTATGGCGTGTTCACAGCAAGACATCACCGAGTCCTCCACGGAGACCCAGATACTCCCTGACACCGTGAAGCAGCACTGAGAGCTCAACCCATTTCTGTGCATCATGCCGAGTTGGCTGACACATGTCCCAGTGTTTGGGGACTCACAGCCACCAGCCAGCACGTGCCACCATGTTTGCAGCAAACAGGCGCTGCCGCTTCCGATGGGACCTACTGTTCCCATCACCACCCTCCTCCAGCATCCCTGCTCTCTCCAGCATTCCGCTACATCCACCTGGAATGTCTACATGACATTAAATTGCCTGAAAAAGGCGTTTTCCCTGAGGAAAATGAGGATGGGGACAACCCCTGACAACCTGATGGCACTGTCACGGTGGCAGACTGGGGGGACATGGTGTGGGCTCCCCCAGGGGAGCCGGGGCTGGTACTTACAGGGCTCACGGGCGATGAACTGAGGTACGGCAGTGGGGAGAGGCGTGCTGGGGTTTGGGGTGCCCACCAGCTTGCTCTTGGCCATCTTGGTGTTGGCCTTGGCAAACTCCAGCCGCAGCGTCTGGGGGATCTCGGGGTCAAAGCGGATGCCCTGGGTGGGGGAAGAGGCACAGTGGGGTGGGTGAACACCCACCCCGCAGCAAAAAGGAAAATTCATTCTTGAATTTCTTTTTTTCTTTTCCACTTCCAGCCTTGAAATGAGCTCATTTGCCAGGCCCCGAGGCGGCTCGCATTCCTCCGGCATCTTCAGCATCGGCACCATATTTGGCAGTCGGCATCCCGCACTCTTATCCAGAGGGATTAGCAGAGCCAAAAAAGAGTCTTACATTGAAAATAAAGCCAAGGAGGAAAAAAAATTCAAACCAAACCAAAACCCCGGGAGAACCAGCTCCACACACTTCTGCCCGTGACTCTTTTCAGGAGGTTTAACTCCGCAGAGGTAGGAGGCAGCCTCTAAAGTGAAATTTGCTTTTCTTTTGCAGCTTTAGCTGGGATTTTTCCCACTAAAAGAACAGGAGAGGCTGGGAAAGGCATCTCTCACAGACTCGTATCTAAGGCTCTAATCCTTAGGGTTGGCCTTGGGATGCAGCCCCCGGGGAGGATGCAGATGAGAAGCAACACATGGGGAGTAGCTGGACGGATGGGGATGCAGTAGGACTAGCCAGTACAGGAGATGCACATTCGTGGGATGGAGGAATCTGGAGAGTATCCATGGATGGGGAGATGGAGGGGAAAATCCTGGATACATGGAGCATCCAGGGGCACTCACGTTCAGCGCATTCTTCGCTGCTTCCGCCTCGGAACGGCTGTCAAAGCTGACAAAGCCCACGGGCTGTGGAGGAAGAAGAAGAGGGACCATCAGTGAGGCTGACAGTGAGCAGAGAAGGAAGCCCTCACCCCAGGGACCAGTGGTGCATGGTGTGGGATGCTCATCCCACTTCGAATGTCTCCTACCTGCTTGGAGGTGAGTTTGATGAGAGACCCTTCATACCCCTGCAAGAAAAAGAGTAAAAAAGGGTGGTTGGTGGAGATCCGCACGATTCAGCTGCCCCTTGGAGAAGGAAACCTCCTGCATCCATCACCCAGCAGCCCTACAGCTTCAGGGCATCAGGTAGGCACAGAGGGGAGCTTGCCACCGGCACAGGGACTTGCCGCTGCTGGATTTTTGTAAGGATGTGGATGCCTGATACTGCTGTCCTTTGTGTTTGAGAAGAGCCAGTGTCTGAGCTGCAGGTCTCACAGCGTGAAGAGACTGGAGGTCTGCAGCCAACAGTCTTCTGCTAAATAGGGCGTGAGTCAATGTGCAGTTAAACCCCAAAGAGCCTGATGCCATTTTCCTATAGTTTATAGAATCACAGAATCCCAGATTGCCTTGTGTTGGAAGGGACCTTAAAGTTCATCCAGTTCCAACCCTCTGCCACGGGCAGGGACACCTTCCACTAGACCACGTTGCTCCAAGCCCTGTCCAACCTGGCCTTGAACACTGCCAGGGATGGGGCAGCCACAGCTTCTCTGGGCACCCTGTGCCAGGGCCTCAGCACCCTCCCAGGGAAGAACTTCTTCCTAAGAGCCCATTTAAACCTCCCCTCTGTCAGTTTAAAGCCATTCCCCCTTGTCCTGTCCCTACAGGCCCTTGTAAAAAGTCCCTCTCCAGCTTTCTTGTAGGTCTCTTTAGGTATTGGAAGGCTGCTTTAAGGTCCACAGTGGTAACAGATCTGAGCCACTGCCTGAGTTTTAATGCCTTCTATTAGGGAAAAAAGGTGCAGAAACTTATTCCTGTGAATAAAATAAAAAAATTAGATATATTTTGCGAGGAAACCAGCAGGCTCCCAGATCCCACCAAGGCTGGTGGGACCCTGGGACAGGGCAGAGTGCCTGCCCTGTGCTTCCATCCCCCTTCTCCCCTTCCCAGTCTGGTACCTTGAAAGGTCTGAAGAGCAGGTAAAGTTCCCGGGGCTTAATGTCCAGAGGCAACCCACTAACAAAGAGCGTCCTCACCTAGAAAAGAAGAAAAGGAGGTTCCTGGTGACCGTCCCTCATCCCCAACTTGGGGATACCCCATGCATCCCACAGCCTCCAGGATGATGCCAGCCCAAGGGGAACCTCATGAGCAGCCAGAAGCCTTAAGCCACACTTGGGGGATGTGGCATTTTTGGGAAGGGCATCCCCATCCTTCATGGGATCATGAAGCAAGCTGGTAAGACACCATGGAAAGGTAACCAACACCCATCCTCACCAGACTGAGTTCTCTCTGGGTCAAAAAGGCCACCAGCATCCTGGACCCTTCTTACCTGGGTCTGGCAAACAGGATCTCTCCTGGCATCCCCAGCAGAGCCCTCACTCTGCAGACAATGCCTACTGTCTCTGTTTAATTGCAGCAGCTCATGAAGGACTTGGGAGAAGCAAAACCCAGCTCTTCCTCCTGGAGGACTGTCCTTGTTCTAAAGGGAGCTGGTTTTAAGCAGCTTGTCCCTGGTTTATAAAAGTCACTTTTTAAGGGGTTTTAAATCTTTCTGGGTGGATGTGGGGCTCCTGGGGAACAGGTAAACCCCACCTGGGGCAAGACCCATGCTGGGATGGTTTTGCTTTAGAACCAGTGCCTAAATGGGGGAGCACTGTGGTGCAGGAGACCAACGGCTGGATCTAATGCCAGTCCCCTTCTCCTCATTCCCAAAATCTCATCCAAACACTTTGATGGCCAGCGGGAGCCTGGGGCTGAGAACAGCCCCGACCATCCTCACCTGAGATCCTCACCCACAGCCCCAGGGCTGTATTCAGGCTCAGACCACGTTAGGGATGAGCTGCTGGCTTGCTCTCAGCCTTGCTGTGTCCCCATCCACCATCTCTGCTCTTGTTGAGGTAGCTGGGGATGGGTCCCATGTCCCTGCCTTGCCATCCCCATCACCTCCAGTGCTCCTGTAGCATCTTACTAGGAGGTCATCCGGGGGATTTGATGGCTGTAGCTTATTTTTTTCAGACACCCAAATACCTTGAGAGCTGGTCCCGAGGGGCTAGACCAAGGTCACCCACCCCAGGTGCCAAGCTGCCAGATTCAGGCTGGAGGAGGGGGAAAACCTCCATTTTTTATTTTATTTATTTTATCCCCATTCCCACAGCCAGAAACAGCCAGCCCAGGCCTATTCTTCTGCTGACATTTCTTTCTCTTGCAGATAAGCTATCTACCCCATCTCCGGGGTGAGCATGTATGTGCGTGTGTGTGTGTTTGCGCCTGGGAGCTGCAAACATTCTGCTTTGTGTTACAAACTTCTGGCTGACCCGTATCTATTAAATAACAAAAGGTACTCGGGGGCTTTTTGCATGTAGCCCTTGTGTGATACCCATTGGTGGTGCCCATCGCTGCTGGTACCCATCTCCCATCATTGGGTGCCAGAGAACAGGTCAGCTGTAAAAGTACAGCCATCCTAGGAAACCAAGCCCTGCTCCAGACAGGAAAGCATGTTCAGGGCTTTGCCTAGAGGGATGCTGAGAGCTCCAGACTGGATGGGATCAGCGCAGGCATGGTCACACCCCTTCCAGAGCCATGGCTGCAGCTGGGCACATCCCTGTAGCCTGTCCCTGTTACTGGGATCATTCGTGGTGAGCTGGAAACCCCCCACAAGGTGCTTTGAGGGACCCCCACCAGCTTTCTGCCTTTCTCCTGAGATCAAAGGGTGATGGAGTATCCCAAAGCACTCAATGCTGCAGTGTCTCCTAATGGAGACACTTCCCAGACTTCTCCTGGCGGGGGCTGAGGAGGGATTCATCCAGAGGACCTCCCCTTGCATCCATGAATTTCAATGCAAAGAAGGCAAATTTATCTTTTCCTAAGGGAAAATAAAAGTATTCCCCTTCAGACAGATCCACTGAGAATGGCTGCTATCCGGGGAATCGGATCGCCAGAGACATCCACCCTCCCAGTTGGATTTTACTCTGGAGAAGGCTGAGTATCCTCACATGGTCCCCCCCTGTCTCCACCATCCCTCGAACCTCCAGTCCTCCCTGGCATGCTGGCTTGCTGGCTTCCTGCCTCCCCTCTCCCCAGGGGCCAGAGGCCTCAGAGATTGCTCCAGAGGTGAATCTACCACATCCCTGAAATCCAAACCCCTATGAGCCCAGTTTGCCAGATCATTTAGCCCCATAGCTGCCTGGCAGAGAGATGGGAGAGATAAAAGACCCTGGAAAGCCCTCTGGAATTGGGCCTCCTCGCAAAGGAAGGGCTTCTCTTCAGTAACGACTTGTTTTCTTTGAAAGTTCAAACGCAGGTCGGCCAAGTTTTAAACTGTCAAATTAGAGCGAGAGAGGGAGGAAGGCTCCAAAGGATCTCCCAGCTGGTTTCCAGCCCCAAAAGGATGTTTTGGGAGCTGGAAAGAGGAGGGAAGAAATAGGAGGTCATAGGTGCTCCCCATCTGAATCCTGCAAAGAGGCTGGGGGGTGGCGTACCCAGAGGGATGTTTGAGTAGGTCCTATGTAAACAACATCCTCTTGCTGGGCTGGGTAGCAAGCAGGTGGGAGGATTTGGGTGCTAAAGCCAGAGAAAGGCAGACAAAGGGAGCATCCTCGGGGATAATTCCCAGCAGGCTGGACGGATATCCTCTTGCCAAGGGGAAAGATTATTTTAGGCGGAAATATTACTCCTGCCCTTAAATGGAAGAGGAGCTTCAAACCCGCAAGGAGCTGCTCCAGGCGCTGCTGTGCTGAGACATCCCAGGGGCTCTGCCTCCATCCTCAACCATGAACGCTCCCAGGGCAAAATTCTGCCTTTGGAGGGGGGGGAAAAGCCTTATCAGGTGCGTGCTTTGGAAAAATGACCCCTTCGAGGGGGGGTCCAAATGCTCTTGGTGGCGCATTTCTCCATCTCTCCTTGTTACAATTTGGGGTGAAACCAAACGTTTCTTCCAGGTAAGAAGTGCCAATGGTTGCTCCAGGAAACTGCTGGCCATGGGTGCAGGACCTTGCAGGCAGCCACCACCTTGATGCCCTTCAGCGGGGATGACAGCTAGGGGACTACATCAAGTCCACTTTCCATGTTCCTCCTCTGCTCCTGCTGCTGCATCCCACAGCTCCCAGGTGTGCCAGGGCCACCAAATCCCAATTCCACCACCTCACTCCCGGTTTGTCCTTGCAGCAAGTCTTCTCCTAGCTTCTGCTGCTCTCCTCTCACTCCCTAGGAAGCCATCTCCATCCCACTTTTGCCATGTCCCTCTCACCTCTGCGTTACACCATCACCTTCTGATGTCCCCAAACACCACATCCCATCTGGGATCAGTTTAAGGGATACTGGAGAGGCCATAAGTCAGGTTAATCTCCCAGAGCAGGCACCAGGGAGGTATTTGCCTGCCTTGGACCCCCATCAGATGACAGACTGGTTTGGGTTGGAGGGGACCTTAAAGCTCATCCAGTTCCAACTCCCTGCCATGGGCAGGGACACCTTCCACTAGACCAGGTTGCTCCAAGCCCTGTCCAACCTGGCCATCCTAAGGGATGCCGGGCACCCCACCAGCATGGTCACGCACCCCTGCCCCTGCACATACCACCCCTGGTAAACGTTAACAGGCTGGGGGCCATCAGGGAGAGGCAGAAGGCGTCTGGGTGATTCATTCACAAGGCATTTAATGGCCTCCTTCAAGCCCAGCTCCACATCCACGAAGTCCACCACCCTTCAGCGGGGGCTCACTTTAATTCTCTACCAGCCGATTAACTGCTTGACTGCCCCAGTGGGAGCAAGAACGCTGCAACCAACCCATAAAACAGGGCAAGCAGAGCTTCCCCCCCACCTTCTCCCTGGCAAAGCAGAGTGCTGCCTCCCCTGTGGTGGGGTGAATTCCAGCCCCACAGGGATTAATCCCTGTGTAAATACTCTCTCTGCTAATGGAGTGTCCTCCTCCTTGGCCGGGTTTAGACTCCCGGGCTGCGTGTACACATGCCATCAACCCGCAAAATTCCCTGACATAAACAAGGGGATGCTGGCTCCTCTGCTGCTGAGATAGGCTCCAGCCTTGCCACCCATAGCCACTTCTCCAGACCAGTAGCCAAAATGTCTGTCGGGAGGCTGGGAGGAATGGAGCAGTCCTCCGGGAAGAGCCAGCCCAGAGCTGCTGGGCTGGAACGAGGAAGTGACAGAGGAAGAAAAGCCAGCGAGAAGCCAAGGGAGCAAATGGGGGATTGCAACAGAACAGAGGAGTGAGCAACAGGCACCGGCGGGGGTCACGTACAGCCGTGTCCAGCTCCAAACCCTCCAGACCCTGTGCTCAGAGGAGGAAAGGAAGCAGGAGCATGGGGGAGATGCAACACAGGGGCAAACCTTATCCACTTGCTGGGTACCTTCTCCCCCCAGAAACCACCCCTGGGGTCCCCTCTCCACGCCCTGGTCCCCTGGGATGAAGGATCTGGCATGGGATGGGGACAAGGACCACAAGCCGGGCTCTCTGGAGCTGCTCTGCTACCAAATAAGGCCTCTGCTGAGCCTTTTACATGCCGTCCTCGCCTGGCTGGAGTGACGTGACCTCCTTCCCAAATTGTTCTCCCTCCCCTCCAGGCTCCTTTGTGGGCATCCCCCCCCAACCCCTAGTCCCACAGCTCCCCCGCACCAGGGGGTTCCTTTTTGGGGGAAAGTGATAGGGATGGGGAGGCCACGCTGGGGTGCAAGGCGCAGGCAGCAGGACTCTGGCCAGCCCAGGGAGGAGTGAGGGCAAAGCAGGGGCTTGTCCCACCCAGCAGCACCCTGACTGACCTCCCCATGATGTTGGTTTTTGGGGGACAAGGTTGAAAGCCCCAGGGAAGGGGGAGGTAAGGCGCAGTAGTTGGGCAACCCCCTTCCGTTAAGCAAATACTCCACAGCACCGGCTCGTCCAGCCAGGGCTGGGAAAAACTTGTGCAGGGAAAAATACCTGCCTGGCTCCGGAGGAATCTGGCTTGCAAACAGGAGCAGCCATCACCCTCCTAACACGCTCCCAGTACAATAGGAGACCCTGGCACCTCACAGGGACTCATGTTCAGCATCCCCCTGGTGAGGGGGTCCCCGAGGGCCAGCAGTGCCGTGGCCAGCCCCTCGCCCCCCCTGAATTCAGCTGGGAGCAGGGCACTGGGACAGGCAAGAGGCCTTCATGGATGTCTCCCGCCAGCATTCCTGTGTGAGCCACATTGCCACCATCACCTGCAAGGACCTGGTGAGGCCACCAGTGGAGAAATTCACCCTCATTGGAGCACTTTGGGAAACTTTGGTAAGTTTCAGGCTGGAAAATCAAAAACCCTGAGGTAGGCAAGAGCGGAGCGTCC